GGATAGCTGGATGCGAGGGTTGGTGAACCCCGCTGCGGGGGTCCAGGGGTCAAACTCCCACCCCGGCTTGGGCCCCGGGAAACCCCGTGTGACAACGCTGGTTTTGACACACAGGCACTTGCCACACGAGGTAAAGTGCCAAGAATGGGAAATGAGACCATTTGTCGTGGCATTTATTTTGTGGTCTAAACGTTTTTTTGTTTTTGTTTTTTATATTTTTTCGTGGAAAGATTAAGACCAAACCTGCAGACCCTTAAATTTTCAGTGGAGTGGAGTCTTTCTTCTCAGCGTTAAAAATCACGGAAGTTGGGGTACTTTCTCCGTTGGCCCACACGTCGTAGGGCGGTAAAAAACGAAAACACAACAAATCGCCGCGGCGTTTATTTCACGTTTGTTTTTTTTTCCCCATATTTTTTCTAGAAAGATTGGAATCTAATCTACAGGATCTGAAAATTTTGATCTTTTGATTAATTACTCTGAGCACAAAAAATCGCCAAAGTTGGCGCTTGAAAATTGCAGGACTGGACCCGCCTGCCACACTGTGCAACGTTAGGGTTCAGATACACAAGCACATCCTGACATGTCAGCAGCCTGACGTCGGATACACTTCAAAAGAAAGCAGTCCCCAAAAGCAAACAGGGACCAAGTCCACCTGAGCAGTTATCTCATCAGGCAATTGGGTATTTCAAAATCTATGCGTGGGTTCAAACCCCGACCTGACCACAACCATTGTGAGCAAGCTTCAAATACTATTACTAACATATATTAGTGCATGCATGTGTGTGTGTGTGTGTGTGCGGGTGGGCGGGCAGGCGGGAGTGTGTGGGTGCGTGCGTGGGTGGGTGGGTGGGCGGGGGGCCCCTCTCACTTTTCTTGTTTTTCGTTTCCCCGCCCAAACCGCCTCTTTTGTTTTGTCGCCGCCCGCGTGAAAACGCCAAAAAAGAAAAAGAAGCCGCCGAAAACGCCAAAAAGGAAAAAGAGGCCGCCAAAAACAGAGACGGAAAAAAAAAAGAAACGAACGGAAAAAAAAAAGAGAAACAAAAAAGAGAAAGAAAAGAAGAAAAAAAAAAAGAAAAACAACCGAAAACAGAGAATTTAAAAAAAGGGGTGGGCCACAAAACGACACTTCCTTGCTATCCGACGGCGGGCGCTTCGAGATCTTCCCTCACATCGACGCCCGCCGCCGCTGGGTCCCGTGGGCGCGCCCTCTCGTTTTCTGGCGCGCTCTGAACAATTCGGTACGCACACCGCTCTGCACGCCCCCCCTCCCTCGATCGCCTTCATCCGCCGGCCAGCGTCAAAACTTCAACCCGATTCCGGCCTGCAGCGGAACACCGGCCTCCCCCCGCGGCCAATGCTGCTTAAGGGGTAGGATCAAACCTCACGAATTAATCCTTCACGGAACTTAATGATGAAACTGAAATTTGAAAAATGAGGCTTCTAAGTTCAAACTTCAAACCGTATCAATTTTTCGATATCGTAGATACCATTTTTTTTTTTTTTTTTTTTTTTTCAAGAACAGGCCCAGTGCCCAAGGCTGATATTAACAATAAGAAGATTGAGGCCAGGGTCCTCACTGTCTACTCGGAGTGACCGGCCCAAACTTGCTGAGAACCGGGCTCAGCGTCCCTCATATGATGATGATGATGAACTTCTACTGATTCTATGTAAACTGTGATCATACTAATGATGATGATGATTACTATTTGATTAGTATATAAAAAATATAGAAGACTTTGTTATATCAGCAATTATGACCTCCTAAGAACACCACTGAAATTCAAAAAATGGGGCTTCAAAGTTCAAACTGTATCAAATTTTCGATATCGTAGAAAACCTTTCTAAAAACACGACTGAAATTAACTAAATGGGGCTTAAAAGTTCAAACCGTATCAATTTTTCGATATCGTAGAAACCTTTCTAAAAGAACATTTGATGTATAGACGTGAAAATACTTCAAAGGTATTCAACCGTGACAACCTGTCTTAAAAAAAAAAAAAGTATGGATATTAAAGTTAATAATTTAACACAATTCCATATAATCTTGAAGTCTATGGACTCGTGGAAACGTTGAAACCACGGATCAGACACATCCCTTTAATGAATTATTATGGAATTCGTAAGAAGAACACTTTCATCCGTCGTCTCTTCCAGATCCAAGAGACAAAGTTTTTTCTTTTTTTCTGGTCCAATTAAAATCCATCTCTATGAGAAACTGAAACTCAATTTCAGTCCTCAGTGGAGCTGCGTAGTCCATGATGGTACCTGTTGTTGAACCTGTTCAATTTAAGAAAGGACCAAAAGGAGAGCGGGGGGGGGGGGAAGGAAAAGAAAAAGGAAGGACACAAACAAACAAATAGGCCAAAGAAGACACTCAGAAATGGCCATAAGTCGACAAGTACACAATCATCACAATTCTGATTATTATTATTATTATTTTTTAATTCTGATTTCATTGTACACTAACTCTTTCATTTAAAGAAAAAAAAAGACTTTAAAAAGTTAAAAAGCAGCTTTTGTTGTTCTTAAGTACGGGATGTCGGGGGTGTCATGGCCGGAACGGGCTCCAGGGACATTCGCGGGAATGGACGATACCCAGCTCTCTATCATCACCATGCAACTAAGCTAGATGGGAGTCACTGTGCACCCTCATGAAGACCTGTAGTCGCATGTTCAAACCTAGCTCCCAAAGTCCCCGTGCAATCAGGCTTGCACGGCGTGTGCTTCAACTGGGGCTGAGCAGGGGGTAGGCATCTCTGCTTAGCCCCGGTACCTGCAGCCGCTGTCTAGTCAGGTCACCCCGCCAAGATGGCAATGGGTGATCGTCCTGGGTGGTTAACACTAGGGTAGGACAGAGGGGGTGGGGGTGGGCCAGGGCAAAAAGATAAGAGGAAGGGTGGGCGGGGTCTTCCGAGGGGTTCATCTGGACAACCGAGTGGCCGAGTACTGTGGGTGACTGCAATCTGTCTAGTATCCCACCTCTACAACAACCTGGGCTTTTTACAAAAAAAAAAAAAAAAAAAAAGTCTCCCCGTCGGC